TGAATCTTCTGTTTCGTTAGTAGGGAAACACAATCCTTCCATTACGAGGTATTGGGCGCGGGAAAACCAACACAGAAGTGTTGTTTACCGAACTTAACGTCCTCAAAAAGTTAACGTCTGGACTGGCATTTTAGGAGACCACATAATAGGTCCATTTTTTATTGAGGGCAACTTGAATAGTAGAGTATACCTCGATTTGTTACAGAACCATGTTCTTCCCGATATTCTCAATCTTCCTATGTAAATCTGGAGAATGTTTGGTTTCATCAAGACGGCTGTTCAGTTCACAACGCTCGAATTATTAGGAAGTATTTAAACAATACTTTCCCGAATCGAGTTATCAGTGGAACAGGCGATATTAAGTGGCCTGCGCGATCTCCAGATCTTACACCCATGAACTTCTTTTTTTGGGGACATTTAAAAAGCATTATCTACGCTCATCCTGAGGCTAGAGCCCAAAATTTGGATGAATTAAAAAATCGAATAAGAGAAGTCTCCAATTCTGTGACAGCAGAAACTCTTTCATCTGTTCGCAGAAGTTTTTATGACAGATTGGGGTACTGTTCAGCCGTAGAAGGTCAACTATTTGAACCATTTCTGTAGGTCATAAAGAATTATTTTTATTTTATTAGGAATAATATTTTAATTTTCAATAAGATTATATTTTTTATTTTATCTTTTTAAAGAAATACGCTTTTATTTTAATTCAACCACAAAAAAATTTTCACATTAATAAAAATCGATAACAATGCAACGATTAGGTCAGTGCATTTTTATCGAATTTACTACTATTAAAATCGGCTATACGTAATGAAACATGAGATCGGACGACAGAGAAGTACATCCCAAACGTTGTTGTGAGTTACTAAACTAAAATTAAATGATTTTCTGTCGGTGTAGATACCAGTAGATACTGAGATAGTCTCGGGTCGGAGAAACGAACATTTGCAACGTTGCCGATTTTAGCGCTCCGTATAGTGTGCAATACCTAATCAAAAACTTAACGCACTGTATTAGTTCAACATAAGAAGACCTGTCTTCGAGGTTTTGTTGATCAAATGATGTAGTGGGTAAAGCAGTGAGCAAGTTTTTATAAACATGATGGTGTACTGGTAGTATGTAGGACAACAAGTCAATAATGTCTTTCTTCTTTGCAGCTGCAATAATTCTTCTTGTTGGATAGAGTGGTTCTTGTATTATGTTCAATCTGCTAATGGGCTTATTAACATTTTTCTTTTGGATACATCTAAAATATAAAATTCACTTTCGGGATTTAGAGTTTCTTTAAATTGAAATTAAAGGTGTTGATCTCTCTGAAACCGAAGTCATATTATTTTAAACCAGCTAAAGTTGTATTTATTAATAGTGACATTCCGGTTGGTAATCATTTCTCTAAGCTTGATGTGATTAAAAACTGTATGATGTTTTTTAGTCACCATAAATCTGAGTTTTTTTTGCTTGGAGTTTTTAGTGACGTCAATCCACTCGTCTGGATGGTAGATCACACTGTGGCGTCTGCTTTCACCTTCAATTGTAGCAAATTGGCAATCATTTGGAAGAAAGGAGTGCCCAAACACCAGAAATTTAAGATCTATGATGTTCATTCGAACATCTGGATCTTTTATAGGTATGTTTCAACAAGGATAAACTCATCTTTATATTCTGATTCTGATCAGAATCTGAATGAATCAGAATCAGTAATGATATGTTTCTGATTTAAATGTTTCATTAAATAAGTTGAAGTGTCTTGCGAACCACGTCCACTCTATGTTTCATTCCATACATACATGTAACCAATATTGCTGTTAAAGAATCTATACTTAGATTATACAGATTGAACCAAATTAAAACGGAACATACAATTTAATACATGTCTGTTTGAACTGCATTTAAAATAGTGGACCAATATAAAACTTGGACAAAAATAAATCCATACCTGGGTATAGACATTGTATAAAATATCGTTCAACTATCTGTCTCGCAACAAAGTTGTTTGCGTAAGACGGGTTTGTCTAAGGAGGTGATAATAGTTCAGGAAATGAAGCTCGAAAAAGTTAAAACCTCGCAATTTTTTCGTCTTGCATGTATCCAGTTGAAATTTTAGCAGAAGGTAGGTAATAGCCAGTGGATCAAAATCTATATCGAAGCGAAGTGCGCTGAAGGGTTTTAGGGGTGAAAACTACCCCTAATTGTCAAAAATTATAAAATAACGTATTAAACCTGAATATGGGTAAGATTTAATTTGAATTAGTTAAATATTGATTATTTTATACTTTTGAATAGAGTTCCATCATATTTCAACCCTTAAAGAGCAACCCTTGTTAGAGATTAATGTAAAAAATTACTAATTCTAAAAAAATGATTTCACCTTGGATCGATTTGGATAAAAATTTGGATTTAAGCTCAATTCACCCTCTGCTTTATAGTTTATGTCATGTCGACGAACCCTGATTGTTCTTAGGGGTGAAAACTACCCCTAATTGTCAAAATTTATAAAATAACATATTAAACCTGAATATGGGTAAAATTTGGTTTGAATTAATTAAATAATGATAGTTTCGTGCTTTTGAATAAAGTTCCATCATATTTCAACCCTTAAAAAACGACCCTTATTAGAGATTAATATAAAAAAATTAGTAATGCGAAGAAAATGATTTCACCTTGGAACGATTTGCATAAAAATTTGGACTTAAGCTCAACTCACCCTCTGATTTATAGTTTATGTCATGCCGATGAACCCTGATTGTTCTTAGGGGTGAAAACTACCCTTAATTTTAAAAAATTGTAAAATATTATTACAAATCTTAAGATGAGTGAAATTTGATTTGGATTAGTTAAATATTGATTTTTTTATACTTTAAAATACAAATTTATATATTTTCAACCCTTAAAAATCAATTTTTATGAGTGCTATAGGTGAAAACAGTTTTTTGCCAAAATTTTGCAACTTTTCAACTTTTGAAAATCACCCTTTACAACATTGTAGTTTTTATAAACTAATTTATAAGATATAAATTGAAAAAAGTAGAATTAAATACAAAAAAAATTATCAACATAAAAAGGCGCCATATATTCTTATACATTTACATAAATAGTTGAAAATATTTACATTTATAGGTAAAACAATTATAATATTAATTTTATTCGTCATCAATTACATCTTCATCGTGATCTATGTCATCCTCATCTTCTTCAATTATTGGTGGACTGTTATTGCACCCTTCACCTGAGCACTCAGAACAAGTAGAGTTACAGTATAAACCAACTTTTCTGCACCCACATGAAACGCCGCATCCTTTTTTGCATTGGCAAAAAATAATTTTCAAAAATGTATCGGGTGCAGGTTGTTTGTTCATGCGTACGGGTAATAACAAACCATCTTTGGAATACCATCCCCAATCTGTTGCTCTGATATTTTCATTGCCAAGCCATAGACATATGAGCAGATGTTTTATTCTGTTGTATGGGATTTCAAAATAAGAACGCTTAAAATTTCGAATGTATAACGCCCCACTAGCTAATATACCGGTTTTGTAGATTATTATGCTCCGAAATGTACTGTACTAAACTAATGGAATTTTCCGGAAAAAAATTAACTGGTTTTTTTAACGTATTTCCTTTAATTTTTAACGATAGAGTGTTTCTTCAAAAACGATTTGTAGAGGTTTTTATTAGCTACAAGGATTTGTAAATTAAATCTTTTTGGAACCCTTGGTTTTTAAATGGGGTGAGTTTAAAGGGCTCGAAAAAGATGGTGCTTGATCGTAAATCGATGCTTTAAACGGCTATATCTCGCCAAATATTCATTGTATAACAAATCTAAATAAAGTGTAATTTTAGTCATTAAAAAACCTACAATTTGGTAATTTTTATTTTTTTCATATATTCAGTATTTTCGGGCATATTTAAAAAAAGAAGGGTAAAAAATATGAAATTGTAAATCGTTTCTCGCTTTAAGCTGTACTTTTTCTAAAACTAAGCATTTTTTTAATTATGGGGGTGGTTAGGGTGTTGTTTTCCTCGATTTTTTCGTAAAAAATGAGGTATTGACCTTATTTTTTTATGATAGGTCTATTTATGCTCTTTAAAAAAGGTTTTGTGAGTTTTTCTTGCAAAAATGCATCATTTTCCCGATATTTGACTTTGAATCTTTCAAATTTGGCATTTGAAGAAAACCGCTGAACATTGATATTGTATTTGTAATTGTATTTGTCTTTTTAAAAGCTACAAATTTGTTCTCTACAATTTTTTTTGATAAAATGCACCATTTTCGAGTTATTCGCGAAAAAATCGATTAAAAACGTGGATTTTTTCGTCTAAAAGTTGTTACTTTCAATCGCGAATAACTTGAAAAATTTCATTTTATAAAAAAATGTATAGCACATTTTTTGTTTAGAATCACTTTTCTAATCGAAACCTGTAGTTAAAACGTAAAAAAAATTTTCACCTCGAAGATGGGGTGGCAACCACCCCCTAGGCTTTGGTGCACTTTGGTTCGATATAGATTTTGATCCTTAGGCTATTACCTACCTTCTGTTAAATTTCAAGTCAATTCACGTCGCAGGAAAAAATTGCGAGGTTAAATGCTACATTTCCTGGACTATAACTGGTTTGACAGCATAATAAAATCGTAGATTTATGTGTAGCTTTCAATTTTTATGAGTTCAGAATCCAGCAGCCCACTGAAGTATGGGATTTTTTATAATATAATTATTTGACAATCTTTTGTTGGCCAACCAGCTACAGCAGAATTGAGCCGAAATACATTATATTCCTATGTTCCGAATTTATTTGGTTCAATCTGTATAGATACAGATTTCTTTTCTAGTACTATTCAGTTTCCATTTTAAAAATAGTATTAATATTAGTATAGTTCCATTTTGTTAAGTGGTTTTGTAGAAACTTTACTGGAAAAAGTAAGATTATTGCTTTAACTAAAGTATAATATCATTTTTTGGTGTAAAAACATGAATTACTATTAATAAACAATATTATTTTAGTGCAAATGTTGTGAAACAGCCAACTCTACTTCAATCAAGCCGTCCATGCCAGATATTAGTATAGCTTATAAATTACATTTAGAATATGGCAAAATGATTAATTTATACGACTGGCTCCAGTCTTTCGTGAGTATTGTTGATCCAGAAATAGTTACCCAGGGTTCTTCAAAGATGGTAGTCAAACCTGAGTTACAGTATCCTTTTTTTTAAATAAATTTATAGACATTATAGGTATGTTCTTTGTTCTTTCTAGTGTAGCACTTTCGAGTGTAGTTGGTTGTAGACCATGAATAGACTATACTGGCTAGTGTCAAATGAAAATCATGGCCGTGTTATAAGCAAAGGAACATTCTAGCAAATAATATAGACACATATAGAAGGACATTTCAAATGAATGATTTAGTTATGGTTATTATACATGAAAACACCCCTAAAGAGGGTGACAGCATAAATCCAAACCGTGGCAGTCGGGTTAAAACCTTAATAAACGAAACAACACAACGAAAAATCATCATGTAGCATTTTGTTTTACTGTTTTCCTGTCCAAAAATCTACGAAACTTTTTAAAAAAATTTAAACATATTCAACCAAAAATTTCAATTCTCTCAAGACTTTCATTAAACTTTTTAGGCTATTTCCGAAATTATTTCATTGAATAATTGTCCTGTTCAAAAAAGTATTCAAAGAAATTATTTACTAAGTTTTGAAATTTTCTGTTTCATCTAAACTTTTCATCAATAATCTTTTAATACCAACTAAAAACATTCCTGAATTATTTTTGAAATATTTAACAATAACTTATCATGAAGACACTGTGTGAAAGTTTTCACACTGTATGGGTATTATTGGTGAGAGTTACCATCGAAAAAGTACTACATATAATTGGTAAAGAGCGCGAACTAGTAACCATAAAACGTCGCAAACTGAAATACTTGGACCATATAATGCGCATTGAACAACGATATGACCTACTTCGGATCATACTTCAAGGTAAACTGCATGGTAAAGAGGTCCAGGATGAAGGATAATATCCTGGTTGCATAACCTGCGAAAATGGTTTAACTTAACCATTACCGGACTTTTCAGGGCAGCATTCAACAAAGTCAGAGTAGCTATGTTAGTGTCTAACATCCGTCACGGATAGGCACCATAAGAAGAAGAAAATGGGTACTATACAATCTTATTTTAAACTAACAACTACTGGCAAAACATTATTTTCACAATGAATAAATATTGGGGAAATTATTACAATATATTCAGTACAGTAATAACATAAACTGATGACATAATTTAAAATAAATGGACAGCCGGAGTGTGACGTCACTGTGGCCATATTGGTATTATTACTTTCCAAACAAAAGTTGAAATGCCTAATCTCAAGACTATTTAATTTAACATTTTGGTTAACAGTAAGGGTCAAGTGACCCTTAACCTTTTAAACGCCAACGTTCCCATTTTGGGAACACAGTAAAAAATAAGTTGGATTCAGAAAATATTGAAATATTTTCAAATATTGTAACAAATATGCTTTCTGTATGTCCCATTCTTACTTTCTGTTAGATGAGATGTTTTTTTTACTTACGGGATTCATCTAGAAATCGCGCAAAATGACGTCCAAATTCATATCACTTGCTTTTTTGTGCTAAAGTTGTTACTGGGAGTCGATATGTACCAAACTGTGATTTATTTTTGAATAGAAATACAGTAAATGAATTATATAAAGGAAATATTTACAAAAAACACATTTAGGTAACTTATTTCTAAAGATATCACGTTCAGCATTCATTGTTCCCAAAATGGGAACGTTGGCAACAGCGAAACACTGTTATTCAAGGTTCCCTAGAGAATGACCGCGCGTAATTGTAACGGCTTGGATTAGTCGTCACGACGTTACGACGAAGAAAACACGTGGTGTTTATAATAATTTTGAGTTTTAGTTTTATTTCAGTGAAAAAATGGATATATCTTTGGATCCAAAAAGTTTTTATGGGTAAGTTGGTGGCAATAAAAAAAAGCATAATACTTAGATATATTTTTATACACTTAGATCATCTATACGAAGGCATAGATTTCTAATACATGCACTCGACGATGTGGAAGCTTCAACTTCCGCAGAACCAGTGGATATTGTTATTCTTTCACCTGATTCAGCTGATCAAGGTACTGAAAGCGACGAGGATACTATTGACGATCAGGTGTTAGATATTCCTGATATACCAGACGAAGTACCCGGTGAAGTAGAAATTCACGCTTATGAATCTTCCGACGAAGATAAGGAAGAAAATGTATCGGTTCAACGTAAATGGAAAAAGAGTGAGAAGGTTGGAATTTAAGCTCAAGCTTCCACACCACCAAGAGTAGGCGATGAACACTTGGGCAAATCTGAGTTCGAAATTTTTTCATTATTTTTTACATCTGAAATAGTTCAATTTATTCGTCATAATATACCGAACTCTACGCTCATAGAGATAAAAATATTCACAACTTTACTGTTTCTGAGGAAGAACTTCGTCAGTTTTTGGGGTTACTTTTGATAAGCGGATATCACCATGTTCCTTCTGAGGATGATTACTGGTCTACTGCAGATGACATGCAGGCTCAAATTTTTTCGAAAATAATGAGTCGGCAAAGGTTCCGACTTATAAAACGTTATCTTCATATTTGTGATAATGCCAACCTTCCAGTTGGTAATAAAGTTGCAAAAGTTGCAGAATTATATGATATGCTGAAACAAAAAATTTGGAGTTTTCCATAAAAATCTCAGCATAGATGAATCGATGATTCCGTATCATGGGCATCACTCGGCTAAGATGTTCATAAAAAATAAACCAATACGATTCGGTTTCAAAATATGGATGTTATGCGGACAAGATGGATTCCCCTATAATTTAGAGATATACTGCGGTAAAACAATAGATAGAAAAATGCCTTTAGGTTCCCACGTTGTAAATAAAATGTTAGAAGTAATTGAGAACCCCAACAACCATAATGTATTTTTTGACAATTTCTTCACCAGTTATTCACTATTGTCAAGCTTGTGTGATAGAGGAATTCGGGCATGTGGAACTGTGCGTGAGAACAGAATAAATAAATGTCCATTGGTATCATCAAAAACAATAAAAAAGCAAGATCGGGGAACATTTGATTACAAATCCGATGGTACAGTTATTTGCGTTAAGTGGAATGACAACGCTGCAGTTACAATAGCAAGCAATCATTTCTCCATCAGTCCGCTCCAAAATGCGACAAGAAGAGTAAAATCTGAAAATAGAAAAGAAGTTCCACAACCAAATTTGATCAAGAAGTACAATTTTGGAATGTGTGGTGTCGACCTTTGCGATATAATGTGTGCTAGTTATCGTCCAAGATTAAGATCAAAAAAATGATGGTGGAATTTATTTTCTCACTCCTTAAATTTAGCGGTGGTAGCAGCATTTCGTTTCTACCAACACGTAAATCCTGAAAGTAGTATTACTCATTTGGATTTTCGAAGAAATGTTACTATGGCGCTAATCAAAGTTGGAGCAAGCTCAAGAAAAAGAAAAGGTAGTCAAACTTGTCCAGTTCTTAGAGATATACGATTTGATGGAATAAATCATATTTCTAAAAGTACATCACAAGGTAGATGTACTGTATGCCAAAGAAACACATGCTTAGAGTGTACTAAATGTGAAAAGCGTCTATATAAAAATTTTTGTTTTGATAAATATCACTCACCTTGCTAACATATTATTTGTAACATTAGATTTATAGTTTTATTTTAAATTTTGTTAGTTTTGTTATAATATATGGAATAAAATATGTTTTTACTGCAATGATATTACTTTGTTATATGTTGTGACTTATGCATGCCAACGTTCCCATTTTGGAACATGGTTTTTTTTCTCAAAATACAGCATTTTATTTTTTTTTTCACAAAACAAAATTATAAAAGATATCCCAATAACATCTTTTTTATGGATAGTTGAAATTTTTTTACAGTTTTTAATGATTCGGCGTTTAAAGGGTTAACGCCAAAACTAACTAGACTTACTACCACTGGAATAGGATCATATTTACCTAGCAGAAGTCTTATTCTTATTTTCGTAGCACTACAATCCAGGTTGGATCTTAATTTACAGCTCAACTTACTTCCAACTCACACGGTCGTCCATGACAGTTGTGTCAGTGGGTAGCCTCATTGTTCTTAAATCTGACTATATGTTATCTCTCCACCGCATTCGTGGACGTCCTAAGGTTCTTCTCTCTGTCGTGTCTCCCTCAAAGATTAACTTGGCAAGGCGGTTATTAGGAAGTCTGTGAATATCTTAGGCGCTGGAATTTAAATTTCTTTGACTATATCGTTAACGTCATATATCTAAGTGACCGCGGCATTTGTTCTCATTCGGTATTAGTTGGTATTCGGGTCGTGGTAGGGTTCGAAGATCCTTTTGTAATATCTCAAAACGAGCTTTCTTTCCATTGCTTTTATTAGCGTCCACGTCTTACACTCAAAAGCCATTGAGTAGATTGGTCCATTTTTGCTCGCTGAAACGAAATCATGAAACTTGTGAGTCATATACCATTCATAAACCTGACCCGGTTTTGTTTTAAGAGGAATAATGGAAAGATCAAGTTATAGAACATCCAGATAAAGTTAAGCTCCTTATAATAATGTTTTATGAGTCTTATATTGGGAGGTAATATGATCAGGTATGGTCTTTGCATCGAAGCATGTACGGAGCTACGTATTGTAAAAATCGGATGGCTATAATAACCGTGCAGTACGTAACGAACATTGTGGAACAGGTTGTGATCTTCACTGCATTATTAATGAATTTCTTTAAAACTCGGAAGATCGAAACCGAGGTTTTGCAGTTGCCAATCTATTCACCAGATTTATAACATGCTTCAAAAAAAGGACAATTGAAAAAGTAACTCCTAACTCCAAATATCGATAAAATTTGTCCCATTAATGTATATAAACTGTTGCATACTTTAGTATTTGTTTAATATATGTATACTGACTCAAGTAGATGCCAAAATTTCTGAAATTTTCCTTAATACATAATTTAGAGCACGATTTACACAGGCAGTTGCCGAATTAGAGTATCTTGGATTCATCAAAAGTTCTAAAAGAAAAACAGATCACGTCCAGAGGTTAACTTGGGGCGGTTAGTGCCTTTAGTTGCAATACTAATTAAAGTTATTTATTTGGTTACTTAAAATATTTATTTTTATACTAAAATTTTCTAAAATTGTAGTGTTTTATTTACCTATAATTAATTATTAATCCTATAATCATATCCTGACGAATCCTATTATTCACAGTGTTCTCGAACGCGACTAGTTCGCGCTCGAGACGCATCGCCCCGCCCCTTAATTTTCCTATTGGTCCCTGACCTGGAAATCCCTATTTATCGCTACTTCAGCGTGTATAAAAATAAGCGATTTTCAGGTCAACCAAGGTCAGTCCTTTACGGGTTCTCCGAGAGCTTAGTGCTCTCGGGGCTCTGCTTCCTTTTTAGCTTTTCATACTCTGGCTGAGTATTATTATTCAACTGAATATTTGGTGATTTTATCTCGACAACCTTAATATCTTTGTCATGTAAGAAATATCTTGCCTTTGTCAAGGCAAGCCACCGAAGACTACAACCTGATGTTTATTTCGACTACTAAGTCATGTAAGAAATAACTCGTCTTTTTCAAGACGAGCCCATCAGAAGAGAACTTCACAAGTCTATATTCCGTAAATAAACTTGGGTAGAGGTGCATTCGTTGACGTCTCCGAAGCCCTCTACAGAGCACCCGGAGGCAATAGAAGGAGTTCAGACCGCTATTTGTTCCCCCGCGGTGACATGGCGCCCGACAACGTGGATTATTCCGATCCCACGACCCAGCTCAACTCGCAGCAGAAGGCAGAACACAATTGATTTCAACATGGGTTGAAGTCAAGAGAAGACGGGGAGAACCACGGAGTGTTAGAATGCTATCTGACACTCCGACATCGAGGCCTTCTGCAGACCGGATGCCTTCGACGTGCAGGCGACTTTGACGACCCAGCCTTCTTCGAAGTCAGAAGCCCCAGATGTCAATGGCAGTCCTGGAGCAGACCCAGTCATCGCCCCCCTACCGAAAGTGGTTGGACGACCACGTAGGCTTCGGTGCCCTGGTACTCTACAAAACCCCGTTGGATATGGCAGATGGGATCCGGACGACCGAGAAGAAGACGAACCCGTTGGAGGAGTCGGCACATCGATCGAGAATGGACCTGCAGGAGCCGGAGATGCCGTCAACGCCACCAACCTTCCCCAAAGGCAATTTGGTTTTATGAACTTTATTATTACTTTTTGCATTTTCATGTATTTTCTTTTCATGTATTCCACATGTATTTGTATTGTATTTTTTATTGTAATTTTGTTGACGTCTCCGAAGCCCTCTACAGATCACCCGGAGGCAATAGAAGGAGTTCAGACCCCTATTTGTTCCCCCGCGGTGACAATAGTACCAATATATAATCAAAAGCAATTGTAGAACATAGTCATATGATTGAGATTATATCGTCGCTTGGATGCAGAAGTATCGTCCATTTTTGCCTAATTTGATATTTAGGTCCATTTAAAAGTAAAAGCATCATTACATCGGATGCATAAGTATTGTATGTACATCTTTACAAGTAGTGCTCATCTCGATCAAACCTCGAACTAGCCTATGTTCAGTGCCGTTGTTAGTTTTCATGCAGAATGAGTCTATGTAAGAGCATCGCAGTGAACCGATCGTATCTCCGTCGCTTAGCCGGACATAGACTAGTTCTGCATGAGTTTACCGTGAAGATAAACTAAATATAGATAAATAGCATAAATTTACGTCTAGATATTGAAGACATGGGCTTATTCGCGATTTAAGATAGCTCCGATAATGATGAAAATGACCCCAAAGTTGTTTTGTTGGATCAGGAACCTAATCAAGAGAAGTCTCAATAAGAGAGTCACGCAAAAGAAACCCGATTTCCTGGAAAAGAAATATAATAAAGACATCTCGAAATAGCGAAAAGGAATACAACTCTTGGAAAAATAAACTTCAACCATCCCGCAACATGAAAGATCCATGTCATTGTAGAATGAAATGTAGCGAGAAGATTTCTGAAGAAGAAAGGCAATCTATATTTGATCGTTACTGGAATCTTGGAGACATCAACAGACAACGAGATTTCATTTCAAAATTAGTGCAAAGAAAAATAAAGAAATAACAAAAATTAACCGAAAGAAGATAAATATTGCTGTAGAGAAAACTAAAGAATCGCCTTCTCCAAACCAACAGAGTAGAAGAACATTCACATTTGATTATTCTTTTATAAAGGACAACATCAAAGTACCTGTGTGTAAGATTTTCTTTTTAAATACTCTTTGTATAAGTGACCAGGTTGTTAAAAGTGTACTTAATAAAACTTGTTCCACTGGTACGATTTTCCAAAGACAGAAGAGGAAAGGCCTGCAGAAACTCCTTACCCAACGAATCGAGTCAAAAAATCCGTTCGAGAACATTTAAATTCCTTTCAGACAATTGAAAGTCACTATTGCAGAAAAAACACAACACGTTTGTATTTACCTGCATCTCTTAAGGCCGTTCCTTGCGTTTTCTGGGCATACCTAAGTTCCAATGTAAAAGTTTATATCAAATAACGCAAAAACTATGGCAGATATTGAGATGATTCTTTTTTTATATGAAAGGTCTTAAAAAGTTCTAGTGCACTATTTAGTTGTAAATTAATAGATTGTTTAAACAATATTTTTTTTCAAATATTTTGGTTAAAATAAACGTAAAAAAATTTTTTTTTGAAATAGGGCACTACAGAATTTGACCCACTTTCCGAATCTGTTTTTATTTTTAACATAAAGTGTAACACAAAGCAGCTATTTGGTATAAACTTTTTTTAAAATCTCAAATTTTGCTAAATGTAACTTTCTCTCTCGGCCAGTACAGGCTGTCCTTATCGATAGTTTCTGGATTCTCGTCGACACGGTTAGGTTGGTTAGGTAAGAAGTATAATACCCTCTCGAAGGTGGGTCATAAATAATGTTGAATAACATTATTAGGGTTTATTTCGACTTTTGACAAACCAGTGTGTTAATTGTTTTTAAAATGGGTAGTTCACGAAGAAGTTTATGTTCCGATTGAGGAAATTTTATATAAATAAGCAGTACCTATAACAAGTACCTATAATTTGATTAAATTTTTATATGAATAAAAAAATTTTCTGTTAATTTGTAACATTTTCCTTCTAAATGTTTATACTGTTTTTATAATAATACTATTGTTTCAGTATTTGCTTATATAATAATAATTTATTATGTAGAAACAGCGTAGAATTTTGGTCAATCAGCCAGTACATTTTTTTGTATTTCAATCAGAATTATTATTTTTCTTTTCTTCTTTACATAAAAGCTTAGAGTAATACTCAAATATTTTGCAGTATTTGAATACGGAATTTGATTATTTATATTTATTGGACAATACCCAAATATTTGCTGTATTTGAATATGGAATTTGATTATTTATATTTATAGGAATATTTATTTTCAACGTTTTTGTTAGTAAAGTTTACCTACGTTACCACAGTGTAGATAAATTGCAATGAACCCTTAGGTGTGAAAGTTGTTTTAAGCAGTTTTTTAATACTTGTAAATCCGTGGACGGACTTTTTGCCATAATTTTAATTTTATTTATAATTAAATATGACACTTTTTTCATATTTTATTTTGATACAATATCATCTACATTACCACATCGCAGATATATTACAATACAAGTGTGAAATTTGTTTCAAGCAGTTTTTTTAATACTCGTAAATCCGCAGACGGACTTTTTTTCATAATTTTAATTTTATTTATAATAAAATATGAAATTTTTTTTTTCATATTTTATTTTGATCCAATATCATCTACATTATCAAATCGCAGATATATTGCAATAAAAGTGTAAAATTTGTTTCAAGCAGTTTTTTACATAATATATGAAGTAAAGTTTACATAATATATGAAGTTTGTTTCTTCACTTGCTTGTCCAGCCATATTAGTCCAGGCTAATAAGGATTTTCTCGTGACACTCAATAATCCAGGTAGCTGACAACTTTTTTAGTTATTGTAGACCTATAAGAAGAAAACCTACCTGTTTCCTGCGTAAAGTTCGGAGCCGTTTTTTAATGATTAACAATTAATGCACAAAACGCGATTCTTTCGATTGTTGCACTCTATTATTTATTTATTTATTTTTTACGCACAACAGGCCGTTAAGGCCTAGAGCATTTTTTTTACAACATAATTCTAATATTAACTAATTACAATTATTTTAAACAAAACTTTAACGTAAATATGTATATATAACATTCTTAACTACTCTGAAGGACCTGGTGTACAATATTTTTCCCATTCGCTTCTATTTTGTGCTTTTTTTCCATTCCCTCACCTTCACGTGTTTAAGGTCTTCCTCCGCTTTACTAATCCACCTCGTTCTGGGTCTACCTCTTCTTTTGGGGTCGATTAATTTTCTGGTTATTACTAGTTTAGGAATTCTGTTTGCTGCCATTCTTTCCACATGTCCCAACCATCTGATTCTTTGTGCCTTGACGAACTTGGTAATAGTAGGTTCTTTGTATAAAGCCATTAATTCATTGTTGGTTCTTCTCTCCCAACCATCTTCTGCTTTCGTCCTCTGAATATGCATCTCAATATTTTCCTTTCCCATCTTTCCAGAGTATCCTCTTCCTTCTTATTTAATGTTCAGGCTCACCGGCATATGTTACTGTGGGTCGAATTACTGTTTTATATATTCTGAGTTTACCTTGTCTAGAAACGTATTTTGAGTTCAGTAGGGCTCTTAAACCACCTAATTTTTTATTCCCTTTTGCTATTCTGGCTACGAGCTCCCATTTCTCTTTTCCATTTTCATCGAAAACTACACCTAGGTATTCAAATTTGTCCACCCTTTTAAAACTATAGCTTTTACCACTTACTGACCTCATACTAAAGTCTTCTTTTTTCCCTTCTGTTCCTTCTATGATCATATATTTAGTTTTGTCTTCATTTAGTTCCAATCCAAATTTCTGTGCTTCTTCGATGATTTTCTTCACAACTCTTCTTAATTCTTACTCGGTTTTTGCTAGGATTGTTAGATCATCAGCAAATGCCAAGCACTGGTGCTCATTTTTCATGATCGTTTCTTCCATCTTCATGCTGCATTTTCTGATTACAGTTTCTAAT